GTCGTTACAGGCTGGCGGGGAGCTGAAGGCTGAGCTACGAGCTCAGCATCTCAACAGGCCACAGTCAATAGCGGCTGGGCTGATAAATACTGCCCCTATCTGGGCCTGGAGGGGTATTGCAGGGTTCAATTAAACTGGGAGACAATGCAGACAGACATGTTGTACTGGAGGGGTTTGAAAACTTTTTTGTTGTTGCATTTTTCAAAGGATCCCCTCAGATTTCTAATGCCAATTCAACATTGTGTGGCTCTAACTGCCATGTATAATTTAGTTGGTTGTATAAACTTTAACCCTTTCATGCACCCTTTAACCTGACATGATAAGCTTTCCACTGCAGTAACTGCTGTCCCTGAAAGTGTTAATGTTCCAACGTGTTTAATTATATTTGCCTGAATTCAAATCAATATTTATCAATGCTCTCCAGTTTGCAACTCCATTACTGCCCGAAAATTTAAAACATAAGAAATTTACATGGAGTTTGCATCTCTCATAACGGCTTATTATCCTCACACTGATGCAACTCACTCTTGTGGACGGCAGCAATGCACATAGTAAGGATGTTGCTAACTGCCAAACAAATCAAAGAAGAAAATATGACCATTGTTCCTTGTGGATTTGTCGTTTTTTTGTAAAAACAAAAAACAAAAACAAAACATTCCACAACCACATAAAACAATCCATGGCTAGACCACATTCCTCCAAAACACTTGGTGGAAATCTATTATGGATACTTGCATAATATATGTGTACTGCAGGGCGGCGCGGTGAGCAACTGGTTCACAGGTCGGCCTCACAGTGCAGAGGTGCAGGGTTCGATTCTGGCTCCGGCCTTCCTGTGTGGCGTTTGCATGTTCTAACCTTGCCTGTGTGGGTTTGCTCCGGGTAGTCCGGTGTCCTCCCACATTCCAAAAACATGAATGGCAGGTTAATGGAACACTTTAAATTGTCCCTAGGTGTGAGTGTGACTTCTATGTTCGTCTATATTTGTGCCCTGCCCTGGCAACCAGTTCAGGGTGTCCCCCACCGACTGCCCGAAGACAGCTGGCATAGGCTCCAGCACACGCGCGACCCTTGTGAGGATAAGCGGATTAGAAAATGGATGGCTGGATGGATGAATGTGTACTGCACAAAGCATTAAGCAAGTACCCATAATGAGCTTTCATGAAGGTAATGGCTACTCATTTCCCCGTCGATGTACGATTGAAATTGCCTGGTGATGAACTGGGTTCAGCTTCTGCCCTCTTCTGACTGGAATGAGCATGACGCAAAAGCGATGGACCAACAGTCGGGTCAAAGTAATCCAACCAAAGACCAAATTGACAAAAGAACCCTCTAACAACCCAGTCGACCGAACTGCCTTGAACACAACTGGGTTTCCACAGGGCCACGTGTGAACAATTTGAACAGCAATCACGTTACAGTAAAAATGTTCTGAATTAACATTGCACACAGTGACACACACACACACACACACACACACACACACACACACACACACACACACACACACACACACACACAGCCTCATCGCCAGCAGCAGTACCATATGCTCCACTTTCACAATATAGTGAAGATTTCACCCCAGAAAAGGAGCCTTGACTCACTAACTTGGCTAAACCCGCTGCCTTTCTTGTGTTCACCACATGTGGCAAGACTTTATTTCAGAACAATACACCCAAGAGGACTAAAATGATCACACCCACCCGAGTGCGAGATACAAGCAACATAAAAAGGAAATCAGGCTAGGGTTTTGCGGCGATGAGGGCCTGTCAAGAGCATGCAAGCTTGATTTATTAGAGTGAAGAAACTTTGTGTATTGTCATGATGGCTTGCACCATTTCTGGGTCCAGACTGCAACCCTTGAAAGATCCGTCACTCAGATCCTGGCTCCCTTCCATCTGTGTTAGGTCACAATGAAAGGATCCTTCACAAGAATTAAAGACAACACAACGGAGAGCTCACATCTTCACGGAATGGAAAAATCCATCAAATCCCAACCACAAATTTTATAATGTCAAAGTCATTCAATTTAATAGCCAAATATTGGTGAAACCAAATCCACACTGGGCTAAAAGTGGCATGCAACGAGCAATCGTCTGAGGTGCATTTTAGACCTGCCATCCTTTACCACTTTACACAAGATGATTCCAGATTCTGTATTCTCCCCTGAATGGCTAAATGTAAACCTATTTTTCAACTGTTTGTGCCTGACTGTGGTTAGCTAACTGCGGCCATCTTTGTTTACGTGCCAACATACTGCACAGGATGAATCAGGAACAGGTCTCAGATGATGAGCAGACATACCAAGGGCAAGATGAGAAAGACTTAACTAGTTGTGAGTCCCAGTGGAGGAAGAGAGAATGAGCCGCCTGTGTATGTGCGTGTTTTATGTCCAACGCACAACACACACACACACACACACACACACACACACACACACACACACACACACACACACACACACACACACACACACACAACGCATTGATGCATGCTGTTTCCATGAGCAAAGAGGAATTCATCTGCTGGCGCTGCCAACTGATGGTGGCCAAATGTGATCTTGCAGCTAGCGGATTAGCAAGACTGATAAATGAGAGACCTACCCTCAAGAGAAGCTAGTGTAAAAGGAGATGCCAAGTCTAGTTGATAAAAGGACACTTGCCTAGCAACAAAAGCACGATAAACACTTGCAACTCTGATAATGCAATATTTCACCCTTCTTCCAGAAAGGTAAAAAAATATATATTTTCATATAATTCATTAGAAAAAAAAAAAATATATATATATATATGGTTTTTTTAAAAGTTTCACAACATTATTAAAACGATTCCTATTCACGTAGACCTGCAAAAAATAAATAAATAAAAGGATATAATATGCATAGCAGGCCAGAAGGTGGGCATCCCTTTGTCAAATAAGTAACATGAAATTGAATCATTTAAACCAATGGGGTGGAAGAGTTCGTCCAGGTCATGATTTCGCAAATGCAAAAATCACACCCATGTTGTTGTTTTGGTCTATTTTGGGCTTGTACTCATGTGGTAAGTTACATTTATTTTATTTGTTATTTTTAATCAATTCAAAGGGCTTGCTGAATCAATATTGAATTGGGGAGGGGACAACTGCAAGGAAGCAATTAATTGATGTTTCTACCCACCACCAATCTGGAATCTACAATGTAAATCCATCTTAAAATTCCGGTACTGTACTACTTATCTCGGTCATTATGGCCTCCCAGCGAATGTGCTAAAAAGCTACTACCAGTACTTCCAAGTCCAGCCAGTCAAACAAGATATTATACATAACAGTATTCATATGCAAAATCTGTGAATTTGTATTCACTCGCCAAACAAAACATCAGTGTTAGAATTTGAATGATGAGTCAAGCATGCTGATGGCATTCAAGATGATTCATTTACATGCTGAACATCACCATCTGGAAGGCACATCTGACTACACATCAAAAGTAACTTAGGGTGATAGTGACGGCCATGTGTTTGCCAAAACTGACTTCAGGAAGTCACAATGACCACAAGCCTGCGTCCCGCGCCAAAGCTGACAAGTCCGTCTCCCGCCGCCCGATCAATAAAGACGCTACTTGACAGCTCTCACAGGAACCAGATGAATCAAATAAATGTTGGTGAGTCACATCTAAGGGAAGTGGCGTTGAAGCCCTGCAGCTTTGCCTCTCCGAACGTCATGAACAAAAACTGTGCGGCTGGCAGTGCAACACGCACACGTACGCACACGCACGCACACACACACACACACACACACACACACACACACACACACACACACACACACACACACACACACACACACACACAAGCTCAACTAGAAATTGAAGTGTATATTGTTGACATCTGGGAATGTCCACTGGTATTCCACAGCATGCACAAGGTTGTGGCATTAACATACAGATAAGTCTGTCTTATTTTTCTTTTTTAACTAACGTTAATTTATCTTCTAATAACGCCTCAATGAAAATGGCTCCTGGGAGACTCAAACTAATCAAGGCAGACTTGATCAAGGTACTGCAGGTACTGATAAAAATGACCTTTGTCATCGTGGTTTGGCACATTTCTTGACTTAATTGTACCATTTTAAAACTTAAAAGTATTATTAGTGTTAAGGTGTTAAGAATGAAATGCCCCCCCCCCTTCCATTTTGTCATTGTTCAGGCCTTTGTCATATCGTATACAATTTTTTTTTTTTTTGTCCTGGACAGAGTGGTGTTTCTCTAACTTGAACGGCGCAAATCATATATTTTTAAATTCAGTACAATTTGATGAAAACGTGCACTTAAATGTGAGATAGCTACACTTAGATGTGCCTAACACCGAAGAAAAATTCCAACAACAGAACAAGGCCGTTGATTTCGCCATTAAATAAACATGACAATTGTGGACTTCAAGGGTTTTTCATACAATAAAAACACCCTTATTGGCACGACAGCGGTTGCGTCGCCTGCATTAAGTGCTTCTTGAATGAAACTCCAGGGAGAAATACACTCACGAAGCAAGGGAGTCGATTGGAAATGAACTCATTCAACTCCGGTTGCAGCAAGGGAATGACAAGAAGCTGCAACAACTGCACCACCAAGTGGCCAAACAATGTCATGGCTGCAGCAAAACACTCCGGTTCCAACTCGGCGATTGGAGACCAAGTGGTGGTTAAAATAAAGCGAAGTTTGAGCTTCAGAACATTCGATTTATTGGAGTTATGAAACGGCACAAGAGCGTCAGAAGCCATTCATGTGTAAATTAGTTGTATCACAAATGCGGGTGTTATGCAAGTCAAATTGATTGTACACAGACAGAATTCAAATTCAGATAAAAACTCAACATTCAAATTCCAAGTACAACAATTAGAAGTGAAAATTAAAAGCACTTACACTACGATGTTTCCAAAACTGAATAAAACCAACAACATTTGGTTTACAAAAACATGACAACATATACAGTGCACAACATAAACAAATATAAAACCGGAATGTAAAAACAAGAAATAAAAGCTACCGCAAAATATCTCCTATGCGTTTTTTTTAAATGAATTACATAGATGCTAACATAACTGATGTTTGTAGTATTTTACAAATGAACCTTAATCTTCCTAACTCCCAATAAGGATGAATAAATTTTACTGTAATGAATCAAGGTGGGAGCAAAATGCGGATTTAAGCATCAGCAAACTGTTCAGGCTCAACAGCGATGATGGAGCAGGACAACAGGAGTGGGCGTGCGTGGTGAGCAGCTGGACTGTAACTGGCTGCGTAAGGCATGTCGCCCCGCTGTTCCAGTGTTAAACCCTCAAAAGCAATCGCAAATACATCTTCTGGACCTAGAAGGAGCACAAAATATTTTTGAAACAGTTGTTGGAGGACTGGGTGGCATGGTGACCGAGTGGTTAGCATATATTCAACTCTCAGGTCTAAGGTTTGCGAATAGAATCCATGCTCAGGCCTTCCCTGTGTGGGGTTTGCATGTTCTCCCCCGCGCTTGCATGGGTTTTGTACCGCATTCCACGAAAACATGCACGCGAAAGTTAACCTGCTGTGCCAGGTTAGCGGGCATCCTGTGAATGGTGCGATGACATCACATAAGGGTTTGAAACTGAACTTGCTAAAATTGGATTTTCTTTCTTTGGACAAAAGTTAAATGCGGTACATATATAGATCAGGAATTTATACAAATATGATCTGATATACGCATATGCAAAGAAGAAAATGCCTTAGCATTGGACGTCGTCATCTTTGATAGCTCTTGTGCAAAACAAAAGACATCATCGACACACCCTGCAACAAGGTCCTGCCATTTACGCATTTTGCATAAAGAAAAAAAAGGGGATGATTTCACCTTACCATTGCTGATAACCATTTAGCAAACCTGTCTAGATTTAGCGTGGCGGGTACACTCAAACGTCCGACTATCGTGTGATGAGGAAACTTAAACGGGTTAACAATTAACACCAACCAAGAACAAAAAGACTCAAATACAGAATCCGACATTGTTAATGTGAGGCTGTTTGAGGATCTACAAATACCAGAGAGGTAGACATTAATACAGTATAAAGAGAAAACATTCTTTACCATAAGGTTGGACTGCACATGTCTTTTCCAAGTTGTCTTCACATTCTTTTTCCCAGTCTTCCTCCTCCAGTAGCTGCAAAGTTGGCTTCTTGGGACGTGCAGATTTTGTGCCTCTATAAAGATCGACTGATTACTACTGTAAGATTTCTGTTGACAATCCTAATACACGGTGAGGAGGACATTAACTGGCTAAAATGTTTATGTGCAAAAGAAGTGATTTTTGTCATTGCATGACCTGTTTTTGATATTTAACAATACTACAGGTACTTTTTGGGGAGTAGTTTGTGGATGCTTGTGGCATGGATTGATCTGCTCATATTTTTAAAGGAAGGAATACGTTTTATCACATCATGATACAGTACAAAGAGGCACAGCCAGCCCAAGCAAACATACAGTATGTGGCTGACTTAGAACAACTGATTATCCAACTCGACTTCCAAAAAATAAAAGGCCTAAATTATACTCTTCAATATTATGCTTTCAGATACATTGGTGCCGTGAGTCAGGGGATTAAAGAGTTTTTCGAGATACAAGCTATTGGTTGGCCAATTTTTGTCCCACATAATGAGCAAAAATCTGAGAAATGAGTGCGCTTCAGACCCCCACCACTAGAGGTCAGCAGCAATCATCATAACATCAGGCCACCATTAATTTGCAACCCTTTGCAGTGGAGAGGCAATCAGTTGCGAGTGTCAACACACAATTAAGACGTTTTGCCAACCACCAATAAACACCACAGAAGAAGAACGTGGAAGGACCACATTTTAGGCAGTTGTGTTTTGTTCTCGCAGTTTCATTGTTCGTGGGGAGCAAATTTACAACTGGGTTTTTGATTCGGGCTGAACAGTTTTGACAACTTTTTTCCCTCCTAAATATTGTAATTGCAATTAAATATGCATATTTTCATTGCCACCTACTGTTGTGGATGTTCGATTAGACTTTATTCAAGTAGGGCAAGGAAAAAAAAAATGTTGCTCACCGACCCCACTATTTGAGGATGACTGTACTAATGTAATATTTGGATCAAGTCTGGGTTGAATGGTCATGCCTGGTGAGTGAGGTACATAGATGAAGTGATAGAAAAATGACTGGTGTGTTACCATCTCCAAGGCTACGTTAGGGTCACGACATAGCGAATAAAATAGCCCACACTTCCAAATAACAATATAAACAAGTATTAGATTTCATGTTAGACAATGTCCTGCCTAGGTGAACTTAGTGCACAATATTTTCTCCACTGAAAATTTTCAATTCAAGCGCCACAATGGAACATATGTTAACATTTTAACAAAATACAGAGAAATCGGCACACTTTACATCTCTGAGATCTGCAGCCTCAAATCCAAAATACTCCCAAATAACCGAAATGCCCCCCCCCCCCAGGGATTCAATCCCCGAATTTAAACTTCTGGTTATGCTGAAGCCATTTCAAAATACATTGGCTTTGGCGATCACTTGATATGCAGTTTTCAATCAGGAAACAATACATCGATCAGCCCTACCTGCATCTCTTATTTTTCATTCTGGTTGTCACAGGCAGGCCAGGTTCTTTTGGTGCTTGCTCAGAGGTGGCCAACACGTGGGGTTCACTGGCAGTGTGATTTACCAAGATACCAGCTGTAGCTGAAATTGTCCTTCGTTGTTTCCTTTTAGTCCTTGGAGGTGCTGCATTGGTAGCCTTGTCCTTAACATTGTTCAAGTATCCGTTAACAGTATGGGGTGGCTTGGTAACATTTAGCTTGACTGTTTTTGTGCAAATGCTGGTTCTAGTGGTGGCAGATGGGTTGCCGACAGACGCAGTCGGATCTTTAAGCAGACACGGAACCGGAGCATTAGGACCATTGGTACTACATGTGTTATCATGAGCTTCTTTTGTTCCATCCCGAAAATCTGTATAACACCGAGACATCTTGAAACCTACGAAAACACAAAGTAGCTTGGTGTTGAGATGACCCAAAATTAAAAATAAATAAATAAATAACTTTCAACACTCACGGTTCGGACCGACTTCAGAATGTTCTTAATGTCTCATGTTGTCTAAAGTTACTACAGTACATAAATGACATGCATCTGCTGTCACGAGCACCAACTAAAACTGGTTCCACAATCAATATTGTGTGCCATTACCAGCTGTCCAGTAAATTTTGTTTGAAGAATCTTAATTTAAGATTTGAGACTACTCACAATCATACAATCATGTGACATTTTTGAAGACGTTTGAAAAAAATGATTGAAGACGTTTTAATGTCTTTTAAGACGTTTTAAGGATGTGCAGGAACCATGTCGGATTCAACAAAAAAAAAATGTCAAACCTAAATTCCCGACCCCCATTGACTTAGCATGAATGTACTTTATTATTAGAACTTTCTCAACATTTATCAAAGGTGAATGCTACTCACTGAGTTGTCTTGAAAAGATAATCCAGGTATCGGTCACACAACATACATACAAGTTGAATGCATGCATTTTAACAAGACTTGCTACTTATAACATCTGGCACTTCAAAAAACAGTACACACACATACATTTACCAACAAACGTCCCAAATGTATCGGATTTTTTATGTTTTTCTTTGTTTATCGACGTGCTGCGTTTCATAAACCAATAGCGATACCTGGCTGTAAGAGGCTAAGCTAATTTTAGCCGAGCAATTGACGTGCATACATTTGCGATTAATATAAAATCAAAACGAGAAAGTGGGTGGAATAACGTTAACGTCGGCGTTGTTTTGACGCTACATTAGCTTCATTCTAACTACACCATGTCTCACCTGTGCTGTTGGCTAAGAAGTCCAACTACAATTCTGCCGTTATCGATTCTTAATCGACCAGTCTCCACCTGGAATAGGAAATCCGACACTAGCTGGCGCCAGAGGTCTGAGAACGAGGTGCCATATTTGTAGTTTCAGAGCGGGAAATGGCACTTCTGCTTGCTTTTCTCATTCGACTTTTTAAATTTATTTTAAAAATCTCACTTACCCCCGAAGGTGACTTCACATTTCCCCAGCGGTACACGTACCCCCATTTGAGAATCGCGGTGTTTTAAATACATTTAAGTAATACAGAAGGAGAAAAAATGCACAGATATGTGATATATTTTGCTAGCTCCAAGTGATCCTTTAATTTATTCCAGAATGGTACAAACAGCCCAAGTGAAACCATTTGTTCAGCAAGACACAAAAAAAGCAGGCATTTGTAGATGTTGATTATGCTCGAGTCACCACTGTGCTCAGATAAGGAAGACTGTTTACTTATCATAAAGCAAATTTAAATTAGTATGGACTTTCTGTGAGCAAAAGTAAATGTAGAAATGCAACAAAATCATTCGCCCACAGTATTACACAATCTTTATAATTAACAAAAACTTTAACCTTTGCTGGGGTACTACACAATGCATTGTGCTATGCTTTTACTAATAGGACACTTACAGTGCAGCCATTGCATGTTCTTTCATGATAAGATCTGTAGAAAATAGATTTCCCGAAAATGACTAGCCGGTAGCACATGTTTACAAATGGTCACATAATTATAACATTTAGAAGTTAGGAAAATGATTAAGACATATAACTTACCCTTCTCAAAACCGTCCTCCCAAGGCACAGACAGAATGTATAAACCATGCAGAGGGAAACAAACTGTTTTTTTTGTTTTTTTTTTGTGCAAGGAAGCAAAACTCAAGTTTCAGTTAATTACATAGTACAGCATATTCTTATCCCTTCTCATATATCAACATGTACATTCATGATATTTACACTATAATAAAATTTCAGACAACCATTTGGGCTGTGAAGTCTTTTTGTTTTTAGTACCACTCCACAGTGCCAACACAAAAATAGTCACAATCATTTCACCATGTCACATTTATGTTGAGCTTATTATTGCTAGTGTACCTTTCAAGCATTGGGGAAATGCTAGAGCATTGCATTGACGTAAATTCCAGGTTAAAGAAACTCCTTGGGTAACTGCGCTTTCCTCTCCCTAAAGTGAGTGATAGCATGTGTCATTGCAAGGTTTCTGGAAGACGTTCTCGAGAGCAATCATAAGCATTAACTTCACCAAAACCCTCTTCTGTTTGGGTACATGACCCATTTTACTCTAAAGTCCTCTCTGACCACCGTTGTCACATTTCACAACCCACTCTTAAGACGTGCAGGTACCAAACATCTCACTCACATTTTTTCCCCACCACCTCCATGACTCAAAATGTAGCCACTTTAAAGATCAGATGATGGTACACTGGCCATATGTCTCACAGTGCTGAACTATTGGCCTACACTGAGCGAACTGTCCCTTCAATATGATGACAACAAAATATGTCTATGTGCAGTTCCAGTTTTCATACCAGTATGCAAATAGTCCGAATATTGTTCAATCCCCAAAAAACAGACATAGTAGAAAAAGGACAGATGCCGTTCAAGAGTCACAGCAGCAGAAGCAGTGAGTGACTCCCCTTTCTGTATGTCCATGTTTTTCATCCACAAACAGCAGGGGGGATATTCCAGTTGTTTGTGTTCCATAACAGGGTGTCTAATGTTCCACACAGTCTCTTCAGACACAGAGTCCCTGCTAATTCTTAATCTCCAGGATGGATGGGTTGTGATCGAGGATGGCTAGAATGATTTTGTCCATGTACTGCCGCAGCCGCATGTTGATTTCCTCCTGCTCCTTCAGGGCTTCCATTAACTGGGGAAATAGTAGCACAAGACCATACATTTATAAAGAACTGTTTGACAGATAAAAATGCCACGATTGCTTGTCCTTTTCATTCAGGTTTAGCCGTGACAAGTCAGTGATGTGCCAGAAATAGACCGAGTGATGATCTCCATATTGCATAATCGCTGCACTATTGACTCAGATGAGGAAAGATGTCAGGCAGTGCAGTACTGCACTGACTCATCCATTGCTGCTCTCCACTGCACAGTAATGGCTTGGCTCAGGTCGCCTCAGTTTTGAGCGGTCCATTTTCCAAAATAGTAGAAACGCACCACATTAAATGCGGAACAAGTCACTCGACTGTAAATTTGTGCTTTGACATACACAAACATAAACCATAAAATTGTGTCGGATTCCAAACATACTGTACATTGCATTCGAAAAGTATTCCTGGTGCCTACTTTTTATGTGACAGCCTTATCACAAAATGTAAATCTTTTTTTTTTCCTCCTCAAAATTCTACCCAAAATTAGGTCCGCCATACTTGTGGCATAACCCCCCCCCCCAAAAAAAAAACCCTAAGCTTTGATTGTTGCCAAAGATGCATCAATAAAGTATTGAACTTCATCTCTGAATACTCACTGTATGCACAAATATGTATTTGATTAGTTTTTAAATTTTTTCTAAATTGGCCAAAATTTAAAAAATATATATTTCATGTCTGCGGAATTCTGAGGGAAAAAATGAATTTAATTCATTTTGAAATAAGACTCTCACATAATGAAATGCAGAATATGTGAAGCACTGTGAATACTTTCCGGACATACTTTATCATCACACGCCGTTTTATGAATATTACCTCGTCTCTGGAAGCATTATCTATCTCGGCAGCCAGAGACTGCGCCTTGGTCTGCGTGGCGCACAAATTCTTGGCTTCGTACAGGCTCAGGCTGAGAATCTGACCGTTCAGCTCGTCGTTCTGCTCCTTCAGCCTCTGGTTCTCCTGGGAAAAGGCAATTAGAGACGAGGAAGCGGTAAGTATTCGGGTCACAGGGATGTAGTTGAAAGAAAGCGGCTACTGCAAAGCCTCACGCAAAGTTGCTTGCACTTGCTTGGCCGTCCTGCATCAAAGGCAGCGGTGCACATCTTTTAAGACAGTCAATACCTACAGGGCATTAAGTAGGTGATGAGTGTTATAAAAAAGCTTCATGATGACCTTGAGCAGACCACTGACCAGCAAGTGAGTTTGCTTTTTCTTGTATGCTTTACTTTCTCATTAGTAAGGGGAATGCAGCTCTGAGCTCAGGTCAGCTGGGGACATGTTCATTCTACTCCACTGAGATTAGTGGTTAATGTCGAATGGAGGGTTCAGGAAGCAATTTTACCATCGAACCGGGACGGCGCATTGCCCCCGACAACCTCAGCTGCTGAAATTCAGGGGGAAGAAAGTCCTGGGACATAAATTGCCGTGTACACACACAAAGTTTACACGTTTTCACAAGAGAACAGGATAGTATGCGATAATGGGTTTTTCCGATGAGACACTTAGGTAGGTGAGTTTTTTTTTCCCCCCAATCCAAGTGGCCCTTGTTTGTCGAAAACATACCATAATTATGAAGTCACAAAGTCAACATAATGAATACAAAAATAGTAAATGCAGGTAGCAGACAAAGCTGATCAAGAAATTCACCAGTGTAACACCTGTACAAAGCTAATCATGGGGAGATCTGAAAACACGTCCTGTCAATGTTTACTGAACAGCAGGTCTGTACACTTCGCTCATACAGCAAACAATACGTCACAATTTTGAAACTCAAGAACACAACACATTTCAGGATGTACCTTCATTCAGAAAAAAAAAACAACAAAAAAAAACTCACTGGCCTGCCTAGCTTAAATGATTCAAGTGCTGTTCACAGGATGATCAAGGGTTATAGAAATCTACAAAGTTAAATGTAATATTGTATCTACACAAGTGTATCTACTTTAATTTTTAATGATTATTTGATTATTTATCGTTAAGAATTCCTTGAAATTGATTTTTAATGATTTAATGATTATTTATCGTTAAGAATTCCTTGAAATTGATTGTTGATTAATCACGTATGGAAGCAACTGAATCAAACTGGAGTGTGCTACTTTTGCAACCAGAAGTACCAGTAATTAAAATTTACTCTCAACTAGGTTGCTGTCTGGGAAAGAACATTAAGAAGTTATAAACTACGCTATTTGTAAGGTATGAAATTCAAATTTCAGGAGTTGATCCCTTGGTTTTATCGATATAAAAAAAATAATAATAAGGTGATGTGTTATTTTCTAGCATTGCTGTGTCAAATAATTCGATTACCGGTACTCAAATGAGCATTAAGTCACTGATGGTGCAGGGGTTCCCTCAACAAGATACGTGATTATGGGAAATTAAGGGACAGACGAAAGGTCCATTAAAATGTACATTAGATTCCTGGATGGACTGTGTGACTAATATTAATCAAATTTGTAAACCAGTGAGTAAATTGAGACATCATCATTATTTTGTTAGATTTACTTTTTGGGATATTTCTGTTTGGTGGTGAGCTGTGAAATTTTTTTAATGTAAAATATGTGCTTTGGCTCAATCAAAGTTGTGGAAACACTGTGGTAGATCATTATGCAATGCTTAATTAAAAACAATAACGCTCACTTAGAGACCTCTCATCACCGTGCATCCAAGAGATTGCACTGCATCCTGAAAGAGGCCTCACATCACCACAATACAGTGGATTAGTACTGAAAGTGTATGATCACTGTTTCAAACTTGATACTTTTAAATAGATACAATAGATTAGACAGGGCAACAGAAAGAGACTATTTATCCAGAGGTAAAATTCACTGACTGTAATTAAATATGGATGATAATTACATGTCTTACACCAGGTGATACATAGTTTTGACAATGCGTTAAAAAGTACCTGCTTGAGCCTCTTGACCTCGTACTCCAGCTCCATCTCTCTGGTCCGACTGTTATACTCGGACAGACTGGAAGTTGAGCTGCGCCCTCGTCCGGGCTTCTCTGCCTCCAGCTTGAAGAGCTGCAAGTGCTCCAGCTCTCGCCGCAGGTCTTCAATCAGCTGCACAAAAGGTGTCAACATATAGGAAGTCATGCTACACTCTAAAAACAGATTACTGAGTTTTTTCATGAACTCAATTTTTGGGTTGTTTGTGTTGGGTCAAAATTTTGGGTTATTTTTTACCAACGCAATCAAATTGTTAGTTCAAATTAAACATTTACTGGGTTATATGCCTGTAATGTTTTCGTTGGGTCAAAAATCAACCGATCAAATCTGACTGGAGGCCAGCTACATAGCTAGGTAACTAGATAGGTAGCTAGCTACCTACTGTACCTAGCTACCATTATTGAGCTAAATAACTCGATAATGGAAATTACTGGGATGGAATGCCACTTTGCTCAATTTGCCAAATTCAGGTTATTGTTTTAAATCAGAGTTGGGTAAATATAAATAAATGAATAACTGCACGGTTTTGACACAATTTAATATATTCATTTAACCCTGAAATGTGGGTCATCTTGAAATAACCCTATTTTTTGCATTCTTTTGACCCAATTTGTTCTTGTCATTTAACCCTAAAAGTTGGGTCAAAATGGAATAATCCAATTTTTGGGCTCAAATTAAGCCAAGTGTGGGTCGGCCCTTTTTTAACCCAGTATTTGGATCAAATTTAACCCAACGTTAATTACTTTTGACCCAACTGTTTTAGATTGTATATATTGTCAGTGGTACTGTCTCTGACAGGCAGTCTGATTGATGGAATTTAATGGTACCTCCTGCATGGCTTCTTTCTCTTGCTGGAACTGCTGTTTGCTCTGTCGCAGTTTGTCCATCATTTTCCTGTAAAGGTCCATCTCATCCTTCAATCGCAAACTGGTGTCCTCCAGTTTATCTGTCATCCTTTGCTTCTCCTGAGCACACAACGTAAATTTTGGTCTATTTTTGCGGTTATAGGAAAAAAGACCGGTACTATCGGGGGGAAAAAAAAAGACATTTCTATGAGCAGTTCGAGCTCATCCAATATACATAAATTGTGGGGCACCTTGTCCAATTTTTCTGTCTGCGTCTTGAGTCTGCACATGCTAGCATGTATTTCATTTTTCTCATCCTCCAGCTGCTTTAGTCTAAAAGTAGAAAACACATACAATCACCAGTTCATCAGCAAAAGGACGGGGTCATTAAACTAGAAATGTACCTCTTATAACTAAATGCTTGTGTGAATTTCTCACCGGCTGTTCAGCAGCTCAATCTGTGTGTTTTTGTCTTTCTCCATCTTGCCGAAGGCCTCTCGGTGTCGTTTCAACTCCCCCTGCAGATTTTGGTGCTCGCGGGCCTCCTGGTCTTTCAGCTGCTCCTCCAGCTCATTAACTCTTTAATTATTGAAATAAAAATTAATATTATTCCTACACCAAACACTGGCAATTGACAAAAAGCTTGTGAATTTGTGGCACATAGTTTTGGACCATACCTGTGTACTAAATGAGTGTTATCCTGCTTCAATTTGGACTTCAGATCACCGTTCAACAAAATTTCATTCTCTAGTTCTGCAACTTTCTTTTCCAATAAGTTCACCTGGCAAAGACAGAGAGCTTGATGAACACAACAAACCTATAAGGCATTCATTGGCTAGTCGTCAACCAATCAAGAGTTCACACTCAAAAACCGTGGTCAGCTGAAAGCTTTCCTTCCGCATTCTGAACACATTAATTGAAAACTCTTATTTTGACCATGTAAATGTGACCGTGTATATGGACCTATTCCACCAATAATTATCAATACTGGCTGATAAGAAATACTTCTATTGTGGTCCATATTTTCCAGCCATATCGTCTAGCCTGATTAAGCATATTATGTTTTGAAAAGTGTTTATTTAATCTTTATAGTGACCAGTTTATTTGATTTTTTCATCGTTACGTTGACTGCTTGTGAGAGATTATGATGTTAAAATAAAATGATCTAAATTCAGCCTTTTTGTTAGTCATTATTTTCAATAGTAAATAAATAAATAGATAGCGACCAATATGAAATGCTTTTATCGTGATATACTTTTCATTGACAGTAACATAAAGTAAAGTAGATCTTACAAATGTAAGAGCAAGCAAAGGAGTCAAAAAACAAAAAAACAAAATGGGCATACCTTCTCATTGATGTCGATGTCACAAGAGTCGATGCTATCTCGGAAAAGGTCTTCAGTGCTTCCGTTGCTGCTACTCAAGTTGCTGTTGTGGAGCAGCTGCCTGATCAAACACAGTGTTACATAGCAGCTCTCGTTAGTGTGTTTGCATGACTGGAACAAAAAGTGCAGGGTAGGACAAAAATCTCTCCAAGGAAGGCAGAATGATCGAGGACTATCCCCGAGGCCAATGTCAACTGGAGAAAATGCAAACAGAATTAAAATAGCACACGTTGGTTTTAGCATGTTTGTAAAAAAGCATTTTTTTTTTTTTTTATGTCAATAATATGGCATTTCAGTTGTGTTATTCAAGCTGATAAAGGACAACAGTGGCCTCTCATTTTTAGGGAAACTCAAAAGGAGGAACAGATAATGAGGGCAATACAAGCAAAAGACGGAAGCAACGCAGACAGAAAGAGAGATAGATCGAGAGAGAGTGAAAGAAAGAGAGGACAGTGCAGGCATCAAATGCTATATTGAATACATAGCTCAGCTCTGACAGGCCATTTTCACTCTGTCACCATAACTCATTTGGTGCGGCTGGAAAAAGGGATACAAAACATCTCGCAGACCAACAGACCGTGCAGCCCAGAGCAATGATTTTACAGCACGTTCTGTTAGAGATGTGTATGCTTTTATGGGAATAAGCAGTTAGTTATTAACTATGACTGTTTAAGGACAACACTGCACGAGGGAGCCGAGAAATGGGGAAGTTGTAAATGCTGTGGTTATCTGCCGTGTAGGGAAACCATGAGCAAACTTTTCTTGCCTTTGCTATTTGTTGGACTAAATAAACTCGTCTTGCTTTAACGCTAACATAGGGTTGAAGGCAAACACTAAGAAGTAACCTTTTCCAGAAGATCAGAAGACCCATACTGAGAGGCATTTCTAATATTTTGGCTGTCTTATATGAGAAGGTATTAGAACAGGTCTCAGTACGATGCAATGCAGTTTTGCCCTCAAAAGTCCTCAAAGACAAACACGGATCCCCACAAAGACGGAAAGCCATGAACACAGCGTGTTTCTTACCTCCCAAATGCTGTACTGGAGATTTTCCTGTTGGGGCTGCACCCAAAAAAATGTGAGAGAGAGTTTTATCAGTGAATTTCCATGGAGATGTCTCCTAGTTCAACAAGGCAGTGGGAAAAAAACAGCAGCTGGGTCTTTGAAGATGTAGGAGACAAAAAATAAATTGTCTACCCTTATTTGTTCATGGGATGGAAATCACCTCAGAAAAAAAAGGACCTTACAACTTCATGAATGTTTACCTCATCTAAGTCCATCTTCGAAATGACCAAGATGCAACATACTAAATGTATCTGCTCGACAATGTGACCGCTTTAGTTACATTAACAACACATGCTGAGGCTTACAATGCCACCAAGCTCATAGCATTTAAATATCTCCAACTGATCCATTTTCCTTCTTATTCCCATCTTTTTCTGCCCATGACCACTGTGTTATTTACAAGGCAAAAGCATGAAGCATTGTGCTGGATTAAACCCGTTTTCTGCCAAGTCAGCTATGTGTCCCACACAGAATTCAAGATGAATGAGTGCAGGCAGGTACGACTATTAAGAGTCATCCTGGATTGCGTTTCCATTAATAGATTCCCTGCTGCAATGCTTGATGAGCTAAGTGCGGGAATGAAAGCCTTACGTAAGAACCAATTAAGTCTTTACATTTGGATGTGTGAGTGGGTGTGTGTCAAGAACAATGTTTCTGTCATATGTAACTAGATACGGACGACCCCAAGATGTATGATCAGGCATCCTCCAATTGTTCATTGCACTGTAAACAGTGTACTGCTCTCAATCATTTACAATATCACGGAAAATGTAATTTATTTAATATTAGGTCAATTATAATATGGGGGCGGGAGAGTTCATTTATTTCAGTGGCTCAATTCTAAGTCAAACTTGTGTGGAATCACTTCACGCACGGTGAAATATGTCATGATGTTATTTATTTATACTGTATATGATTTCAGCTAACGAAGCCTAAATTCTACTTCCGTGATAATTGTGAACATTACAAGAAATAAAAAGGTTTTTCGTAGAGGGTCTTCAGGGACGTACAGTGTATGTTCCTCTGTGTTTACCGAATCACTATGAGTTTCACTTTTTGAGTGGGACTATCGAATTAAATGAATTTTCAGATCTATATTCTCTTTTATTGAGATACAACTGTTGTGTACCAAGGGGTTATTTTTCAATTATAAGATCATCTTAAAGTAAAAATGATCTTTTAAATGACATTGAATGTACGAAATTAAATCTGCTACCTTACTTAATTGCAGTCATCTGACTGCTACATTTTATTCTCTGCATTCTCGATTAAGCTGAAAGTCTTCCAGTAGGCCAGTTGTGTTCAGTGAGTTAACTAAGCCCATCATAGACTGTATCGTGTGAGCCTACAAGAGGGACATTGCACAAATTGTAAATATGACAGAGTAACATTCCACCTGTTGGCCTTGAGATTCTTGAGACGTGCTTCCAGGTCATTGAGCAGGTTGACTTTTTTGCTGCACTGAGAACAGTAGACATCCACCATCTCACCAGGGTACTGTTGACGTACCTTCCGAGGTGTCTGGCCCGCACTGTTGACACATAGACAAACAGAAGGGAATCTCGGCAGCCTGAAGAGGCACACGGATCTGACAGAGTCCCCGCCATGTACATGTAATTGTAACCTTTGTCTTGTGAGTTCAAAAGCTGAGTCATGTGATGTAATGTGAATAAACATCAGGGAAACCTCGTACACACCCACTATACATATACAGTATACATATACTGATAATTGTCTTTCCATACCTTGCCTGTAATTACAGTTCCTTGATGTTAGGGTGTATCTCTTTGAAAAATAATTCAATCGTGACAGGTGTGTTGTCTAGACTGCAGTCTAAGCTGTAATCATCTACTTCATGTCTTCTTGTCGAGTTGCATTTCATGAAATGTAGACCCCGGAAACCGGGCTCCTTCTTTTTTTCTTTAGTCAAGAACCAAAGGCTGCTACAATGTAAAACCACAAACAAATGCTGTGCATTTCTTTTTCATTTGGATGTTAAACTTGTACCGTGTCTAGAGCAGTTTTTTGGCATATTGTTCAGCCTTGTTCTCGACTGTACCTTTAACCTACTTTCCACTAAACCACACTTATTTAAAATTGCTTCTCGGGCCCCCCTGATGTGCAATCTCAGACTTCTCCTTGATCTGGCCCTCATTTAGAATATAAATCTCTCTTAGTCAGTTCATTTTATAAGTTTTGTCTGCTTGGTATGTGTGGAAAAACTACTGAGCAGCTTTCCCCACTTTATCAGTCATGAGGCTTAATCGCATTAAACAAAAGCCGCTGGTGAATATTGATGTAGTCCGCGGGGCAAGAGCTCCAAAGCTCTGGGCCAGGTACTTAGAGTCCAAGGAGCATATATCAAATCTGGTAGAAACTACCGGTACTCCTCCTTTTACACTTCTAAGGATGACAAGAAGGTGAAGTGTACTCTTACTCTCACTCGAAAAAGTGGTCCGATACTCCACATCAATACCACTTCACCAGCCTGACAAACTTCCAGCCATGTGGAATAGAATCCATGACAGCTGTGTGGAGATAAACGGTGATGACGACACACTGTTTGTTGGCTGACTGAAATCCGCCCGGTGGCGACGGAGACGGCCACCGTCTGGCAAGCACCGAATTTCGCAAGCCCCATTGCCTGCTCGGCTCTGCACCGCAGAATATGGAATATCAATCCCATTTCTGGATTTTTTTTCCAACTGTGTTTGCTTGGTCAAAACTGAGCTTTATTAATTGCTTGTAAAGGCAACATTCTTGATACCACTGGTCTCTCATCAAATGTGTCTCATATGTTGAGTCAACATCCTGCACGAAATGTCATGCACTGTTTTGCATTGTGTCTCTGAGTCTTTCTTACCTTGAGGACACAGATGAGCCAAGATCAGAGTACCCGTTGATGCGGTTGTCGTCGTCGAGAGAAGGACTGCTGGGAGCGTAGTCTGGCTCCCCTCCTTCGCCGTAGTCCTCAAACTGCTCCTCGTTCAGGGAAGCCGAGGAGCGCGTCGACAGGTCAGAAATAACAGAGTTGCTTGTGCCACTTGTCCTAAAGGCAACACAATTAAAGAATGCAACGTTGGTACAACAAAACGACAAAACATGTTGCATAATAATCAGAAACACTCAAAATTAAATGTTGCTTACTTCTCAGCAGGGAAGAAGAGATCCCCCAAGATGTCTTCTTTATCCCCTAGTCTGGTGGGACCTTCCGATGTGTCAGAGCCTTGGGTGCTTTCCACTGCGCTGTCTCTGTCCGAGTCTCTCTCCTTGCCCTCGTCTTCCTCGACATCTTTGGAGAACAGCGGGCTGCTGGGTAAGGCGTCGGGATAAGCCCGCGTGCACATGATGGCTGGAAAGTGCTGCTCGTCCTCACTGGACTGGAGGATGATAGCAAAGGGGCGACAATACTGTGTAAGATCTTTGAATCAGACTGTTTGCTTCCCAACATGGCATTATGATGGCATATACAAAAACAGTTTACATTCCTTGAAATGTTTGTTTTACTATACCAGATAGTGTGAATTGTATTTTTCTTTTTTATCCCTACATATGTGTTTTTCTTTTAGATTTTTAAAAAAGTATACAACTACCAATATCAACTGATATGAATTACTTATATTGTAATTATTTTGTCAGCCAAATTGACCATCGCTAATAAGTGAAATTAGAAGTTATTTTTTTCCTCCCTAAATTTTTAATTATTATGCTGAATCAAGTTTAACAATTAATTCAGTGGATATTTTTGCAAATTATTTCAATGTTGCATTCTTGAGATTGTTTTGTTTTTGTTCACATTTCTGCAGGTATGTTAATTTAAAAAAACAGTTTGGACATTGTTGTTTTGGGTGGGCCACATTTATAAATCACGTTACAAAGAGGATTAGACATGAAGTAAAATCCCCTCCCTGTGGGAATATTCTTAAGACCAAGATGGGGTCGTGAAACAAGGAAGGGGTGAAAAGGTTGATGGGTCATGGGCCACAGGTCCTGCTACATAGCATTCAAATGTTTCAATGTAGTGGGACACAACAAGCCTTATCCCAGCATGCCTGAGCAGCTGAAAGACCGCAGCGCAAAGGGGGGGGGAGGTGCAGGTGAAGAAAGTGATGAGAGCCAACAAGAACAATTCACACGTTGCAAAAAAGGGGAGACTCTAAAAATGTCGGGAAGTTGGACAAAAAGGTGAGGCATCGTAAAAACTAGAGCAAAAACACGGTCAAAAAAAGTTGTAACCGTGGGATGTTGATTGAAGATCCAGTACTCGATCTGACTGCGATTAGAATGAATCACAGTTGCACTTGTTCTGCAAATATCCGGTGAGGATGACATTTCTCTGAAAAAAACAATGAGTGTCTGACACGCTACACCTCAATATGGCGTGCAAAATGAACCAACTGTTGACACGTGCTGATTAACTGTAAAATAATACCACTTCAGTGACACAGCAACATTTCCTGGTTGACATGACAAGCCCATAATCACATGGCACAGCAGCACGTTTACACACATTCAAAGAGTTTCTATTTTTTCTTAACTGTTGAAAAGCTTTGAGACGCTGACTTTTTTTTCTTTTCTTTTTTTTAATTCATGTGCTGCAAATTTAGGAAGCATTCTTGCTCACATTTCCCCTGGCAGCTTTCCTGACAGTTCCTGTTTCACATGAGCGCTGCCACCACTGTTTACAAAAAGTATCTGACGCAGCGGGCGCGTCTCCATTAAACAAAGACACCAAGTTGTATAGTTCACACAAATATTTCGTTGAATAGTTGTGAATTGCTGAAGACAAGTATCCAATCCGCTAGTACCACAGTTTCAGTGTCACAACAATGGCAGATTACGGTCTCATCGATACCTGAGGAGAAGAGTTGTTTCTGTTCAATGACGTTTGGTACCGGTATTGGTTTTATTTTGATAGCTTTCTACTGCCTGCCTATTTTGTTCCGATGCAAGCTGATCGGAGTCTCAGTCAGAGCCGGGGGGGTGACCCGTGTTGTGTAAACAGCGGACTGTCATTGTGTCATGCATTCTGAGTGCCATCTCTTTGTGATGTGTGACAAGAAAGAGCAGAGAGTGAACATGGGATTGTAGACCAACCACCAGAGCCTTAGGAAGTGTGAGCGCTCAAGGTTTTAGAACAACTTCAGGACAGTTGAGCTTTTGCTCTCAGCAAGCGAACCTGTGGAATGCTCTCCCCACTGAACTTAAATTGGAGACAAATATAAATGTCTTGAACAAAAAAACTGAAAGAGTGGCAGAAGTCGGGCCAAATTTGTTCTCACTGAGCGGGTCAGTCTTGTGAGCATTATCACTTGAACACGAAGTACATTTTTCGTAATACTATTGTACATTTGTAAATTGAGGTTTGATTTTAATGATTTTTATTTTAGTTTGGCTCTTACATCTGCCCAAAGGACTCCCAATGAAAATGAGCTTAATTTAGCTAACTCTTACAATGTGTAAAATTGAGTAATTTTCCATTGTATCTTTTTAAATAAATAAATGAGAAATGAGATTGATACATTAGCTTTTTGGGCGCACGGTTAGTACTCAAACATCCTAACATTCATATAGCAGGCCTCCAGGTGAGACCTATGTCCCAGATGGAGATTGTTTGATGAGAAGGGAGACCTAGCAACAGCTCTAACAAAGCAACAGGAAACAGTTACTGGGTGCAATAAGCAGGCAAGTGTTTTAGATGGAAAACGCGAATACGTGGTGACGTGGTGCCATTGGTGATGTGAAGGACGGTTTGAAATCTCTAACCGATATTTGTTTTTAAATGTAACGTGTGACTGCAGTCGGCAAGTCACACATGCGCATATGCGGTGATATTAACACATATGGCGAGTGGTGAATTCTGCTACAAGTCCATGCTGTAATAAATATATATAAAGAGACATATTTTGGACCCCTGCATTCTCACGGTCTGGCAGGTGCAGAATAACCTTTTGGTTGATCTCCCTGCCCCCAAGATTTTTTTTCCTTGTTTTTGGAGGGGCAACCCACCTCCTGGCCATTTATGGAAACAAAAAATATGGTGGTTGACAAGAGTGGTCTTGAATGAACTTACATTAAAAAAAAATATTGATTGGATGGATTCGTAATGCTTGCAATCAGTGTGACTCAGCAGAGCACATGAAAAACTGGCTGAGCTACTTGAAATATGCAGTGAGAAAGCGGATGGACAGATGGATGCTGGAGAGGAAAACAAAGAATATAAAAAGGGAGAGAAAATGTAGCAGAATGTTAATATAGGACTGCAAGGGCCTTTTCTACATCTGTAACTCTCTTCCCCCGCATTCCTTTCCTCTTCGCCGCCGGGCAATTTAAAACTTGGCAACCCCAAAATATTCACAAGTGCATTTAATGCCTCGCCTCTGATGTTCAGGCCAAGCTGTCGCCTGTGGGTACTACTGTCATCTCAAATCCATTCAGAGGGTCCAAGAGGAGGCCACAACATTCTGAAAGTGAAATTGCTCTTCTTTAAGGATTAGATTTGCAAACAGATTAAATGATTCATAATTTGTCTCTCTCAACAAGTTCATTCCATACAAAAGTGATTCTTTATCCTCAGTGTCACCGTCTCCTTTGAATCATTTTTAGAAGTTGTAACATGAGATGAGGATTTCTCACCAAAAAAGAAAATGTATTGATACTGAAAATACATTTGATATTAAACATTAAAGCAACATTCCTGACATAGCAACTAAACTTGATAAGCTAATGTTTTCATAACCTTATAACCATTTTCTGCAGTGAACTGAAAGTATCAATGACCATTGACAGTAAAACCACATTCTTGTGGTGCGATTTATTACAGAACACTACATATGCAGGGCACCTGGTTACAGCCCATTGACTGACATGTGTCGTCAAGAAAACTCAAAATCGGCTACGAGACACTACGTGTGTCTGCGACACGTCTGTCGGCTCAAAATCGGGCAACATTTGTGTCGTCTGTGACGTCGGCACAACTCTCCTGTTTGAGCAATGTTACTCAACATAAAAGTCAGGGATCCAGGGTTACCCAGCCTGCAAAAGCGAAATTACTCCACATACTACAAGCCAGTGTAGAATTCATGATGGTTTCACTCACTCCAGAGAGGAAGTCATTACTCATATTTCACTATGAATTTGTTAAAACTGACTTTATCGGCGAAGAACCGTTGACTCACAATTCTGAGTGAGAACTTTAATGACCCTCGCTTCCTCTATCTAAATGTTCCTTCCCAAACTGGCAGGTAATACTGTACAGCCACACAGAAACTTTGTCTGCATCCTGATGTAGGACTTTTGTCAGAAAAGTTCTAGAGCAGGTGTCCCAAAGAGATATATTTCAAATCCAAACGACAAAGTTTGTATATAGTACAAGTTTTTCCCTTTGAAAGTAATCTCCGTGGAGTCTGATGCACTTTCTCAACCTTCTCTTCTCATATCTTAATGCACTCCTGGAAGGGTACTTCCAGAATCTGTCACAGCTTTGTCATCACAGCGATCTTGATGTCATCTGCGCCTTCACAACAACAGTCCCCGACATGAGCCCTCTTGAGCTTGAGAAAGAGGAAAATAATCACAGGGAGGCAAGTCAGGTGAGGTGAGGAGGCAGGTTGCTCCGACACGGCAACGCTCCTCTCGACCAGGTATGGGCATTGTGAGCAGATGTGTCATTGCGAAGCAGCCACGAGTTGCCCTGTCTCTTTGCATGTACGGAACGAAGCGCACGCCACAAGATCTCTTTGTAGATGTGCTGGTTGCTACTCTTGTCCACAGCGAAGGGGAAAACTTGTCGTCTGGATTTCAAATCTATCTTTTGTTACACCAATGCTGGAACTTTTCTGACACACCACAGATGCATGCAAGAATACAAAGAGTACCGTTGACTGTGCGCAGGTTTCAACTACACAGACATCTGCTTGTTTCCAGTGGCGGCACAGGTGGCATCTTGGATTACCAGGAATGTTGGCCTGTTGCAAAACGCAGGGAGGGGTTTGTGCTGGCTGTGAGGAGGCATTCATACCAAAACTTTACTCAGGTAAGAAAAGGAAAATCCAAAGGAAGAAATGGCTTCATTTTTACATACAGGATGCAGACAACTGTTTACATTGCCATTTGGGGGGTGTTTGCATCGCTTCTTTCACATGGCTTTTCTGCTAAATCAGCGTATCAGAGACTAAACTCATGAAGCAGGACATTTCAGTGTTTGTGAACTACATGTCGGCACAGGGACACAGCCTGGACAAAAACATAATTAGTTGCGTGGCGACTTCTGTGCCAGCATCTGGTGTGACGTCGCTGATACTTGTGGGATAATCACGATTGGTTTCAACACAACAGGGTGTGTGTGTGTCTTGGGTGGCAACATTTCACACCCCTTTCA